GTTGGTCTGGGAATAGAAACCAGAAGAGAGACTAACCTGAGCTCTTAGTGCTGCACAGAACTCATTCCAGACAGTTGGAATTAAAGTCCATGATCAAAGACAATGTTCAAGGGGATTCCACACAGCTAGAAGACATGAGCAGTAATGAAGCGGCAGTTTCTAAAGCTGAGGGGATCCTCAGAACAGCAACAAAATGGACAGCTTTGTAGAATTTGCCAATAATAGAGTTACCTGAGGAAGGAGTTAGACCAGTGATAAAATCCAAGGCTGACCGGGTGTAGGAAGAGGTCTGAGCAATCCTGTAGGAGTTAAGCTGGAGGACCTATTTTGGGCAAAAACATAGCAGGCAGTAACATATTATTATACTTTCTTTACTAGGGATGACCACCAAAACAGATGGTGATAGTACGTTTTTTTCCCCAGCATGATATGCAATTTAAGCAGTATCTGTCCAAAGTATTACTTGAGGGTGGACCTTTGAAGCCACATAGAGATTGTTGGGTCGATCGTTTCTAGGATCTGGCTTAGCCCACTGAACATCTTGTTCTTTTACTATTGCTTTGCAGCTCAACCAGATAGGATATTTTAGAGTTGCAAGACCAGTAGGTTGTACTTTGCTGACTAATGACTAGGAAGCCCTGAGTCATAGACTGTCTTCCTAAAGTCATCCTAAAGCCTACTATCCAGTGCTACCGATCTACATTCTCCACTAATGCCACCTTGCAATCTGCTGTGTCTTTCATATTGCATAAGATGTTGTCCACATGTGTGCACCTTCCTCCACTCTTGCATGTTACCCTTTGTTCCTCCCTCTTCTTATATGTGTTAACCACAACTATTTCCATCCTTTTCACAAAATCTGCCAATATCTGGCCTTCTTCTTTTTTTTAGGTCATTAATACCATACATACCCAACACCACCTCATCACCTCTGTTTCCTTCATGCCAATTAAAGTTTGATCCAATCACCACTCTCCCCCACTGGGGACACTCTCTGCCACTTCATCCAAGATGCTCCAGAATTCTTCTTTCTCTTCAAACTGACATCCAGTTTTCAGGAATTTGCACCGACAACATCCATGTGGTGGAATTAAGGCACGACGGGACCACAGATCCATGTTTTGAGCCATCTTTATTTAACATTTGCATCACACCACCACAACCCCCCTGAGTCCCCGTGTTTTTAACTAGGCGGGCGTGATTAAGGATGGCGTGCAGGTGCGTCCACCCTCCCTGCACGGCACCGCAGACCATGCCCCACCACAATCCAACATCACCCCTTAAATTTCTAGCTTCAACCTTGATATTATCTGACACCTATGGCTGGTTTTTTTATCAAACAGATGTAAGACTAAAAAAAACAACAACTGTGTGATACTGAGTGTTTAGAGCAGTCTGAAGTTTGAATGTTGGGCTCAAAGGAATTACTTTCAAATACACTGACCACTTTATTCGCTTAATTATTAGTATTTGAGCCTTTGGTCATGTTTAGCATAAACATACACAAGTGGAAAGAACAAGAACTTGTGACAGGAAAGAAGGAAAA